CAGCTATAAACGCCTCAAAGCAAACATTTCGAAGAAATAGCTAGTTTTAATAAAGATTCTTCAAGATATACATGATATTTCACCAGAAGCTATGAATGTATGAACACAAATTTAGTCCGTAGAAAAATACGAAAATTTTTCTCATTCCATAGGGGAAAATGTATTTCCAGAACTTAGTTCAGAAATTTATTTTTCCATTTTGCAGTTTAAACAGGAAACCAGCAAATATTAACAACATTCTCCCACTTTCCCTATTTACAGTTTTCTGGCAACTTTGGACATTTAGAGTAAATATTTGCTTCCCGTTCTAAGTTCTCAGTTTTCGCTTTTAACGAATTCTAACTGAAAATCGAACCTAAATTCGAAAGCTCTGAATTCTTTGGCATTTGAAAGTGTTCAATGAACCTTTTCGTAGTGTGATAAAAAAGAGTTATTTTAAATCTATTTGGAGCTAAATGTACTGTACTTACAGGTTTGTATTTGCTCCAACGAAAATCCTTAGCCTATGGTAAGTAATTTATTCCAAAATGACAAGAAAACTCTTTTTTTTTATTCCTTCACTTTCATTATGGCTATGGAGTTAAGGCTTTCGCTTTGAAATGAATGAGGTAGCCGTAGTAGTCGAATTGTCATGGTTGTGAAGTTGTGGCTAACATTGCGTCTTATTTGTTGCGGTTTATTCTTAGAAACCTTAAAACCTTGCTGTTTAGAGGAGTTTATGTACATTAAGGGGCCCAGCAGTTCCATAGGCTACCTTTTTCACGGAAACTACTTATTTCTCATGGATAAAATTTTTACAGTAGGTTATGTATACTATTGATAAATCTTTAAAGAAGGGTTTTGTCTTTTTATTGAAAAAGTAATTATGAATTTTTTTAAAAATGTCCAATTTTCCCCCTAAAATTAAGCTTTAAATAGCCTTATCTAAAACAGTTTGCTAGATATAACCAATTCCTTCCATTAAAATGTGTAAACATGCTACAAGTATGATCACTGAAAATTTGAGGATTATATAATAAGTGGTTTTGAGAAATAGGTACATAAAGTGAAAAATATTCAGAAAACAGGCTTTAAAGTAAAAATTTGTAATTTTTGAGCATTTTACTTTTTTTTTGTACTTTACAGAAGCATTTTCTTTATACTCTGCTTCTACAAAAGACTCTTTTAATTTTCTTTTTTTTTTCATTATTATTAACAATTTAGCCTTTCTTTTTGGGCTACACGAATCCTATGTGCATCTAATTTTTTGAAGCATGACGCACAATCAGTGGCGCACACAAGGGGGTTCCGGGCCCCCCCCCCCAAACCCCCTTGATTTTTTTCCAATTGATTATAATTCTAAGTAAATAGTACGTCAAATTTAATTAAATATTTATTATTAATGATTAATTTTATTAATTAATGCTAATTATTTATTCAATAATTAGTTTTTTACTGTGTTTTGTTCCCGAAAATCGACAAAATCAAAAGGAGCATGATACAAGATTGGTGAACTTTAGACCCCGGACCCCCCCTGAAAAATTCCTGTGTGCGCTGCTGCGCACAATTATAACCTGATTCAATACCCCAATGTTTTAAGATCTTTAATTTTGCTACATGACCCATATTGAACTGTGCAATAGCCATATTTACCCCTAATTTTAGAATTTTTAACACCACAAATGTAGATTTTGGAATCACTGACCTTATGGTGTTATTTTACTTATTGAGGTCTTTCCATGTAGTCATTTTTATAATAACATAGGATCTCTAAAAATTGGTTTCATTTAATTCATTATGGTATATGGCACGTGTGTATGTGTTTATGATCATAATACCTTTCGTTACATTCCTCTTCTACCTTTTGAAACTTGTACCATGAATTTATAACTTCAGGAAAGTAAACAGCCCTAAAAGCAGTTTTCGTACTGTGTAGGTAATTAATTCTAAGAGCCATAGTATAGTATTTTTGAAATTTTGATATTAAAATGTCAGTGAGTCGGTTACGACCACTTAGGCTCTTTCCATCACGTAACTCTTTACTTCTATTTTTGCATTTAGGATCCATTAGATATGTAACCTATACGCTGTTCGATATGCCCAATACACTCTAATTTTTCTACTTGAATATCATATAGCTCCGCGTTTATCCGAAACTTATTCATGGGAAAATACAGGTGCTCCTAGCAGAGCTCATTCGATGCGCGTCAAGGAGTAGCTTCATTTAAAAAAAATAAATAAAAAATACTTCTAATTATCTTATTTCCTTGTATCATACATCATTTAAAGCAAAAATATTTGGATTTTTTAGAAAATATAAAGAAATGAAAATCGATAATTTTTCGAAAATTCATGTGCCGGACTATCTAAATTTGTCGAGACTCGAAGTACTCACCTTAGTATGGTTTGGAAATTTGGAGAGTGGAATGTTAGTTTGGGAGTATAGTTCTCGAAATTTAACTGTGGTTAAAAATTTTAAGGTCAGTTATCCCCTCCCTCATAGGTTCAATATTCTTAACAATTAATCAGTATAATAAGCAATTTAGTAGCGTAATGCAATGGCCAAGCTTAATTTAATTTTTATAACAAATTTTAATTTTTAATTATTACTCACAACAGTATTAATGCTTGTAAAGAATGATAGCTTACACTTGAAGCTTAGATATGTATTGCTAAAAACCACGCTATTTTTTTTTAAATTCATTATTTCTAAAAGGTTTAATATTTTTTGTAGAATTATCTAAGCAGGATTTCTAAAATTTCTTCAGTTCTCAAGCACACATTTTTCATAATAATAATAATAATAATAATGTATATAGATATATAATAGCAGTAATAATAATACTAATACGAATAAAGTATTATACAAAAGAGAAAAAAAAATGGTGAAACAAGATCTCATATACACATAAAAGATTATTTTGATTATTATAGACATGCATACATACAAGTGTACACGTTCACAGTTAAACAGTATCTACAGGTTTGTTGCTAAATTTTTAAATTCTACTAGTTAACTATCAAAATGCAAATAAATAATTCCTCATAAGATTTTCTACACACATTGTAAATAATTATCTATAATACAAACCATCTGCCACTGTGTTAAACAAAATGACCTACAATACAAATCATCTGCATGTGGGGTATGTAAATATATAAAAAATACAAATCGCTTGCAGCTGTGTAAAAAAATATTATCTAAAGTGTAAAATCTTCTGTCATTGTGGTAAACAATTATCTAAAATACCAAATCTTCTGCTTTTGTGATAAACAATTATCTAAAATACCAAATCTTCTGTTATCGAGGTAAACAATTATCTATGATACGAAATCTTTTTGCCATTTCGGTAGACAATAATTATTATTAAATCATTGTTGTTGTTATTGCAAGCAATTTTTTCTTCGCGTGGCAGTAGTATAATTCCTTCTTTTTGTAAAACATTAAAGACAAACTGTTCTTCCTTGGAAAAATATCCAGTCCCATAGTCCATAGTTTCATTTCCCAAGAATTTTGCTTTAAAAGTAGAGAATGATTCAATCTCGAAAAACAACTCAACACTAAAGAGTAAGCAAACTGAATAAATAAAAAAAAAGTAGTTCTCAAGGCAAAAACTAAAAAGAAAACAAAAACAAAATTTAATCTCACAAACATTTTTGACATCTCTTCTTCCCAATTACAGAAAATAATAAAAACCACATCCCTCTACCCTCCTTTTAAAACTCCACTCGCCCTCTATAAACTGCCGTCCAATGCCCCAAGCGCTCACTTGAGTGGAGAGATCCATCCGTTTCTTATTAACACTTAAAGAGCTCAACTTCCAACAAAATCGGATATTACTTCATCTCTAAGACGTGGAAGGCTTTTAATGAAATATTTGGCGTGCCGCAGAAGTTTAGAAGGGCAAAATCGAAAAGCGGCTTTTCACTGTCTGATGAATAGGCACTCTACGAAGACGAGCAGTCGCAAACTTTCGCACTTGACCCGACTTCATTCATCATCTTCCTGGGGATCAATTGGGGGCGCTTCACACGCATTGAAAGAACGCGAAATCTGTCAGAGCCCGTTTGATATTAATATTAGATCTATTGGAGGAGGGTATTTTTCCTAGATTTGCGTTTGCGTGTGTACGGGAAAAGTAGCTGTGATGGATCAACAGAAATCGGGTATGGGGATGGCTGTGGGGATCTTTTAAAGGGGTGAGAAAAGTTTAAAGCATTTACGTTCCAAGGATCAATCAACAATATAGATCATCTCAAAATGTATCAGTTTTTTCAAGGCGTGTTTTTTTAAGGTATCCGAACAGGTTAGGAGTACTCTTTTCAATCCTACTATTAGTTCATACTCTCCCTATATATATATATATATATATTCAAATTTTCAATCGTTAATAAAATACTTTTTATTCATCAACTCAAGTTAAAAAGATTTTTTTAAAACTTGTAGTGGATGACACTTGATGTTAATACAGTTCTTGCAAATATAAATAAATTAATTAATTAATAAATAGTAACAAACAAAAATAATAGTTTAACACCATATATAAAAGGGTGTGACGTAGCTGTGAATTTCCCGCCACACAGCTGTGAATTGGCTTCTTTGTGGGTATGGTCATCATACGTGCAAAGACACCTGCACCCTTAAAATATTACGCGGTCTTGTCTTGAACATCACCCCGGCAACCTTTGACGTTACAAGGGACGCCTTTCAACAAACGACTGGATGTAACTCGAAGCTAAAGACGCCGATCTTTGTTGTCCCCTAGACTCTAGCAAGGGAAGAGAGAGAGAGAGAGAGAGTGATGATCTGAAAACTTCACTGAGAACGGACACCAAACAAACTCCTCCCTCACAAACCACATCATTTGAACTCTGATATATAATCTTTTTAATAAAATTGATAACTTCAAAGTATAATCTGTAAATAATAGCTGTGACGTAAATGTAATAAATATTTAAATTAATCAATATGACGCTACCTTTATTTATCGTAGACGTCACAAAGGAAAACCGCTCGTTGCGTCCCTGTAGCGCAATGGATAGCATTTTGGACTTCTAATCAAAAGGTTGTGGGTTCGAACCCCGCCTGGGATGGCCTAATTTCTGAGAATGTGATTTCTTTTTATTATACTATTTTATTGGAATAATTAAATTTAATTAATGAATAAATAATAACAAAAAAGTAATAGTCCAACACCATATACAGAAAGGAAAATGGAAAAATTTCAAGGAAAATCGCATTCTATTTTGTCAATTAATATTGTGATTCTGTCATATGTAGTGACATATTTATATTAATTGTAACTATTTAATAAAAAGTAACTAAAATAAAGTATTTTTTTGTTGAGCCAATAAGAAATTGACTAAAATTTTTTTTATATATTATTTGTTTAAAAAATAGCTCACTAAAACATTATAAATGCTTTCTTACGAATCAATACCCATTAAAAATACTTATTAATACTAGTATTGAATTTTTTAAAAAAAATTATCTAAACCTTACAAAAATCACAATTATAAGTGAAATTTTAGCAATATTTTTGAAAAACTTCAAAGAAGTTAGAGAAAAATTATTAAACGTATATCAGTAAACGTATTCATAAAACAAATTGGATGCTTTAATCTAGGAAATGTACTAAAAATTTAAGGTTTTATTAAATTTTAAATATTTTAGAGCTGATCTCTCGAGTAAATATTGTGAGAAATGTGACATTCTTTAGGGGACCATTATTTAAATAACATGCCATACCCTAAAAAAAAATACTCTTGAAATGAGAAATATTTCAATACATTTTTTAGAAAACTATATAAATATCAGGTTCAAAAAGTTGCATAGAAATGCTTTCATAACATTTTGAGTTACCAAATTCGTCATTATAGGTTCAGAGCAATTTAAAAATATCCACTTCTGGTAGATCCAACTCTTCTGGTTCTTCTAATTTTATATAATTGATTCTAACTTGGTCTCTAGATAATGTAGAAATAAAACAAAGTATGTTTTGTTAAGTCAAAAGATTGCTCTGATCAATAAATAAAAAACAAAAATATGCGTTTTCACCGAATCTGGTCATGCAAACGTATTCGGTTGTGTGTTTCGGTTTTAATTTTTTAAATAATTACACTACTGGCCATTACAATTGCTGCACCAGGAAGAAACGCAAATAAAAAAAATGATAATTATCGGACAAATATAATATACTGGAAATAACAAGTGATTAAATTTTCAAGAAATTTGGGTGCAAAGATCCTGAGAAATCAGTACCCAGAACAACCACCTCTGGCAGTCATAACAGCACATATACGCCTGGGTATTGAGTCGAACAGCGATTGGATGGCAGATACAGGTACAGATGCCCATGCGGCTTCAACACGATGCCACAGCTCATCAACCACAGTAACTGGCGTATGTTAACGAGCCAGTCGCTCGGTAACCATGAACCAGACGTTTTGTATTGGTGAGAGATCTGGTGAACGTGCAGCCCAAGGCAACAGACGAACATTTTCTGCTCTAAGGAAGGTCCTTAAAATACCGAAAACATACGGTCGTGCATTATTCTGCTGAAACGTAGGGTTTCACAGGACTCTAATAAAGAGTAGAGCCAAGGGTCGTAACACACCAGAAATATAAGGAGCACTGTTCAAAGTGCCGTCAATGTGAACAAGAGGTGACCGAGACGTGTATCCAATTGCACCTCATACCATCACGCCAGGTGATGGGCCAGTATGACGATTACGAAAGAATGCTGCCAATGTGCGTTCACCACGATGCCGCCAAACACGGATGTGACCACCTTAATGCTGCAAACAGAACCTGGATTCATCTAAAAAAAATGACGTCTCGCCATTCTTGCGCCCAGGTTTGTCGTTGGTCTCACACCATTGAAGACGTTTCTGTCTGTGATGCAGAGTCAAGGGTAGCCGTTGCTATGGTCTTCGAGCTGAGAGTTCATGATGCTGAAAACGTCATCGAACTGTGTTCATGCAGACATCAGTTGGCTTGAAAATAATGACCCGATTCTTGACTCAGAGTTCGGGACTTGGTTGCGCGATCTATTAAGGTCATGCGGGTAACATGCCTGTCTTCTCGGCTGCTAGTGGTAGGGGACCGTTGTGATCCATCACGGTGTTCTGTATTACTATCTTGAACCAATCGATTCCATATTTTGCTAACAGTCATTGGATCTCGATCGACACGAGCAGCAATACTGCGATACATAAACCGCAAACCTGGTGCACTACAATTCGACCTTTATCAAAGTCAGAAATGTGCTGGTAAGCATTTCTGCTTCCTATATGAGGAATCACAACAACCTTTCACCAGGCAACAACGTTCAAATGAAATTTGTGTGCGAGGAACAATCTGAACAATTTCCTCATTCAAACACATTGCAGGCGTCGCTGCCGGCGCCTGCTTTGTCTCAATGCACTGAAAAGCTAATGATTTGCATATCACAGCACCTTCTTCCTGTTGTTAAAATTTCATGTCTGTAGAATGTTGCCTTCTTGGTGTAGCAATTTTATTGGCAGTAGTGTATATATTTTTAATATACAAACCTCCCCTATTACGAATTGCTCATTTAAATAAGAGAATGTTTTTCCTGATGGCTGTTCGTAAGTCGTTATATATAACAAAGATATGCGTAACCAAACACCTATAATAGTATAATAACTACTAACCAGCATTTTTTAAAATATGTGTGTGTGAAAACCATTCAATTGCTTAAGTATAGGTAGATAAAATTGTATTTTATCAATAATATTAACATAAGTTTTGGACTTATATACCTTCATCAATTGCAATTTTGTAGAACAAATTTCAAAATTTTAGAATTAGAATTTATTTTCTTATCTCGAAGTGTATGAACGTCGAGGATTTGTAGTTGCAAGAGCGTCTGTATAAGAAATTTGTTCATATAAAAAAACCCATAATCCTGAAAATTGTCATTATCTACTTGAATAAAGAAAATAAACTATAGAATAGTGTTCCTTCTTAAAAGATGATAATATTAATATACTTCTGTACTTAATTGCATACAAAGATAACTTTTCCTAATACCTTAACCTGTGGAATTTTGAAATTCTTATACAAAGCCGTGAAGGGTTTATTGGGTTAAAAATAAAACTTGTTATATATTCTAAATTCCTAAAAGTTCAAAGACAGTTTTTGTATGGTATTGCATTACTGGAATTACAGGGAGTATATATTACGTTCATTCACAGATGTGTACAAATATACTACTGTGACAGCTCTACCCGCGATCTTCTCACTAACTGTCCTCTTGGGGAGTTTTCGATCCTTAAAAATTATTTTATTAGAACGCTTCCTCCGAAGAAGAAAACGTGTGCGTGCAAATTAAGACTACTATATAAAGTCTAGACTTTCAGGTTAGAAAAAGAGAGATAGGGTAGGCTGCTAGCGGAGCAGTGATTAATCAAATTTACTGCGAGACTCATATATTTAGTAATTGCTAATTGTAATAATAAAGGTGACGATTTGTCCTTAAGCTTAAATCTAGATTAGATAGCTAAGATGTCAGAGTAACAGAACTGAAGTAAATGTTGCAAGTAATTTAAGTCTTCTCATATTTCATGTGCCTCGTTAATTGTATTCCTATTGATTAATTGGGTGCATCTCGTAACTTTGGTTGATGGAACTTGTGTTTGTGTTGTATATAAACTAAGTGATGCGATATCCTTACACTCTTCTTTGTGAAAATGCCAGTACTCTGAAAATATCCTCAAAATAAATGAAATTTGTTACCATATTAATCACTATGGCTCAAAGAAGCGATCAAATTTACAGAGCAAGAAAACAAAAACAATGTCGAAATACAATATTTTGTGCAGCCTTCATTCCCGGAATTGAGATGGCCGCGATAGTCTAGTGGTAGGACACTAACTCATAACTGGCGTGTCATGAGTCCGAGCCCAGAACCGCTGAAGACTCGTCGTGTAGAGGAACTGATGCGTGTTAAATTTGTCGGGACTCCCATTGGTGCAGTGTGAAAATTAGGTGAGGGGTGGCAACTCAAGTGTCAGCCTCGTCACTTGATCGAGGTTCAAAATTATGAGGTTTATCACAAAAAACCCTAGCGCAGCTTTATACAGATGGGTGACAAAATAATACGAACACCGCGAAAATGGCATGGCCCATTTCAAAGACGCACAACGCGCATGTCATTTTGCGTTGCAGTCCGCCGCCTAGCGGATTCGAAAGGTAATGTATCAGTCGCTCAACAGCTGCAATAGGTGTTGCACGCGTCTATTGTAATTTCTGAAAAACGCAATAATGACGGACCTGTCAGAGTTCGAAAAAGGTATGATTGTTGGAATGAGGTGCGCTGGTTGCTCGGTGACGGAAACAGCTAATTATTTGGGGCGTGCAAGAAGTACTGTATCTGCCGTTATGACAGCATACAAGAAGTGCGGGAATGTGGCGTCTGGCAAGCACAACAGTGGACGGAAAAGAAAGCTTATCGAGAGGGATAAAAGAGTTTTAACCCGCATAGTGGCCCGAAAGCGCAAGCAATCGCTATCCCAAATAACGTCTGAGGTGAATAGTCATCTTCGTAACCCTATTTCAGCAAGAACCGTCCAAAGGGAACTGCATGCTTCGAACGTATGGAAGAGTTGCAATTCGTAAACCTTTGGTAACAGCACGTCATGTTTTACAGCGACGCCAGTGGTGTAGAACACACAGACAG